GCTGTTGTGTCGGGAGCGTGTGAAACCGGGCCTGGAGGTCAGGAGGGCTGAGCTGCTCCGTGTCGCTGTGTGTGTGTGTGTGTGTGTGTGTGTGTTGCTCGTCCTTTGTGTTTCCGTGTGTGTGTGTGTGTGTTGCTCGTCCTTTGTGTTTCCGTGTGTGTGTGTGTGTGTGTGTGTGTGTGTGTGTGCGTCTCTTTGTCCGGAGGCGTCGACTTCGCTCTGACCTCTGAACCCGCCGTGAGGTTCTGCTCGGCCTGATGAAGTCATCAGCGCCGACTCGTGCTCAGACGCTGGCAGATGAAGGAGGCGGAGCTCCGGCAGGAAGAGGCACCGTCGGTCACCTCCAGCAGGTGGAGGAGCTGCTCCTCCAGAGACGTCTCCTGGGTCTGGACCAGAACAGAAACAAAAGGTTTAACGTTAAAGAACTCTGAGACGCCAGAACTTAACAGATCATGAAGGACAAAGAAGAACAAATGTAGAACCTGATGAAGTCAAATATGTTAAATCAATAAAGAAGTCAGCGAGTCGAACAGACACCCTGGGGATGGTTCTGATAAAGTCATGCTGCTGCACGTGGAATTTAAAATATTGCATCCAGAAAATGAAATCCTGTGATATGACGTTGAAATGCTGTACAAGAAAAGTGGAGCATATTGTGTAGGAAAAATAAAATACTGCACATAAGAGATAAAAATACATAAAAAGTTAAACAGTGCAATATGAAAATGACATATTGCAAGTTAAAAACAGTCAAATGTGCAAGAAAAATGAAATCTTGCACACGGAAGTTAAAAATTACACACAAAACGTTAAATATTGCAACATGAAGTTAAAATACTGCAAATGAAAAAGGCTGTATTGTGCACAGAAACTGAAGTATTTGCACATGACAGTGACGTATCTCTTATGGAATCTTAAAATTACACGTAAAAAATTATATATGGCACATTACAATGAAATAGAACACATTGAAATGCTGCACACACGATTTCAGTTTTATGCGTGACATGTTGCACGTGGAATTTAAAAATATATATATAGTGAAATGTCGTAAATAAAAACTGGCATATGGTGCACAAATAAAGGAACTATTGGACATGAAAGTGAAATATTACACACAGCAATGAAACACTGCAAATGATGGCACGTATATTGTGCACAAAAAAATTTGAAAAAAAAATGAAATACTGGTCATGAAAAATACAATATTTTGTTTGCTTTTCAAGATTTCAAAACAAAAAATTAGTACGACAAAATGTAGTCGTTTATGAAAAGGGAAAAAATAGGTGGAATAAAAGAAAATAAGTAGAGAATAAAGTATAAACACGAGTTTAAAAATGCTAATAAATGTAGAAATAATGGTAAATAAGTAAAATAAATCTGTAAATAAATAAATGGTAAGAAAGTAATATGAAGAATAGAAAATCAATTAGAGATAATAAAAAATAAGAATAAAAATAGAAATAAGCTATTGTTGATCCTAATATGAAATACTACACATGATCTAATTATTCTATATATTAGAAATATTGTTTGTGTAATAATAATAACAACAAATAATTTATAAGGTGTGAAAATATTCAGAATAAATATGAATAGTTTGTTATTTTTAAAAACAATCTGTTTTGTTAAATAACAGATCGTAACGATCAGAAATCATAGAAAATGTGTATTCATTTACACATTCACCATAAAAAACTAACTAAAACTATAAATATTTTCCACATCTGCATTTTTACAAATATGCTCATTTATGTTTAACTTGTGTATCGAAACGAGCTGTTTTCTTCTTATTGCTGTAATTTTTTATTTTACCTAAATAGTATTCGAAAGAAAAATCATATTTATTGTGACTGTACTAAAAACCTCTATTTTACAGATTAGTTTTGTTAAATTACAGAGAACTAGAAACACAGGAACAAAGTATTTATCGACATGTTTACAGTTAAAACTAAAATAAACAAAATACAGGCAACATTGTAAAACAATGTCCACATTAAAAAAAATCTGTATTTTAAAAAAACAGTAATTTATTCTTTTACGATGCTTGACCATAAAATGACACGTTTTGCTTCATTAAAATCTAAAAATAGAATTAGTTTTCAGATGTTTGTCGTTTGAAAGAGAAATTATAAACAAGGATTGAAAAATATTTGTAATAAATATTGATAGTTTATTTTACTTTTTTTTTTTGCGTTTTGTTAACAAATAATTATCAAAAATCACAGAAAATTGGTGTTCATTTACTCGTTCACGTTCAAACAGACCAAAACTATAAATTATTAGTTGTTTTTTTACCATTTCACTGTAAAATGACACTAGTTAGTGCATCTAAATCAGAAAAGTGTTATTTTATCCATATATTATTTATAATAAAACTCTACATGACTGATAAATGGTGAATAATTTGAAGACCTCTAGTTTACAGATGTTTAGATTTGTTAAATTACATATAACTAAAAAAAAAAAAAAAAACAGGAAAAAAAACGGATTAATTTACATTAAAAAAATCTTTTTTTTTTTTTTTTACGATGCTTGACCACAAAATGGTGCAATTTTTACTGTACTTAATTCAGCAAAAAAATATTATGTTTTTTATTTTATTAAAACTAAATTTACATGATTTTTTCCCCATGTTCACTCACATTAAAGACTTCCATTTTCAGACCGCTTCACTTAAACCGCTCTGTCGTGACATGTATAATTAATAAAAGGTTCATTAAAAAAGCTGCACTCGGACACTTTGCAACTCCAGTAATATTTCATCAGTCAGATGCAGTGACGCACAAAGCGGCAGGAATTCACACAAAAGCCACAAACCGACCGTTGTGTTGAGCTTTTAGACTCTTACCTGCTGCATCTTCGTCCACCGGTACAGCTGCTCGACCTGAAACTCAAACAGAAACATCTGGAAGGACACAAACCAACCCTGAAACAAAGTCTGACTCTGATGTGGTGATTTTATGACTCATGACCGGAGAGTCCAGTCAGCGCCGACTGAAACACTAAAAACAGCTGATTTCAGACTGGAGTCTGGTGAAAGCGTCTCTGTGAGGAAAATGGAAAAGTTGATGCTTTTAATTGGAAAAAACCAAAACGGACAAATGTTGAGTCTTGTAGCCTTTCTGCTGCGTTCGTTTAATGCAACAAATAATTTCACAAACAGTCATCGGCTGTAAACATTGTCAAGAAGCTTCAGGTCCATAAAGTGCACTTTGACTGTTTTCTTTGAGTTCATGGCAAATAAAAGTCAGCATGTCGTCAGAACTCACTGACGTGGCGATTGAAGGTGAACTCTGCTTCACCTCTCCTCCTCCTGGCAGCATCCAGTCTGTGCTGCCCCCTGCTGGCAGAAATGAGGACCTGCTCCCACAACACGGAGCTCAAATGTGTTCAAGTAAAATCCGTCTTCTGTCGCTGATTGGCACTCCAAAGGCAGAAGCTCAGCTTGACTTTCTGATAAAACCACACGAGGTGACCATCCGACAGCCGAAACGCGGTTCAATGAGAATCCCACAAAGATTTTTTTACCGTCTCTGCAAAGAAATGTTCCCCCGAATTGAAAACGACAAATTTTTAAAGGACCTTTTCAACCCCTGTGCAGGAATTAAGTTTCTGAACCCACAAAAAACCTGCCGGCAGGTTTGAAACGTGTGCTATCTTTTACACCATGTAGCCAGAAACTGTCAAGACGGAGAGGATTTTCAATTTTCCAACAGTCAGTGAACTACCCATCATGATATTTGTTTAAAAATTCACCAAAAATAAACCGTTTACTTTAACTGAAATCTGTAAATAACTAAAAATTCTGCGCTTCCCGACGCAACTGAGAAGCAACGACTGACTCGGCTGTGACCAAGAGTCACGTGATGAAAATTCAGTGAGTTCTCAGACTGAACTGCAGGAAGTGTTTCCCCAGAGCAGTGACTGAGAGGATGATAAAATAAACGCAGCACAGCTCAGAAACAGTGAACAGAGGAGCAAAAAAAACAGTTTGTAGATGTTGTAAAAACTGTAAACAGTCGAGTGTTTATATCCTCTGGACGTCTGTTTAATTTCCAGCGTTGATTCCAAGATTTTTCTGGAAAAAAATCGAATCTTTTGTTCTCTCTTTGGTGCAAGATCTCATTTTTATGTGTGACGTTACCTCAGAATCACTGCCAGCATGACTTCCTGCTCTGTTGTAGCCTTATTTTAGTCTCACTTATTGTTTGTCTACTTCTCATGTTGTTTTGTTTTTTACTGAGCAACCAGACAAACAATATTCTATCTTATATTTTATTTAATTGAATCATTTAAGGCATTAAAACTGCGTCATTCTGCCCCTTTTTCAGATTTTTCTCCACTTCCAGCCACGATTCTGCCATTTAGGGACTTTTCGGTGGAACAAAGGCCAACAGGAAGTTTAATTACTTTTTTTTTTTCCTTTTTTTTTAAATGTCTAATTTAAAAAAAATGCCAAAAGCAAAACAGTTTGCACTAAACCAGAATCTGTTAAAAAAGTAAAATATTTTGGGCTCGTCTGTGAAAGAAGTCACGTGATTAAAAATTCAGAAAGTTTTCAGCTGAACTGGAAATGAATAAGAATGTAAATATTTAAATATCTATAGTGTGTTGAGAAAAGATTTTAGTGCTCTTACTCATGTTGGTTCCACGTTTTTTGAAATTTTTGTGACAAATAATGAAAGAAATTCAGCTTTCATTTCCACTTTTCTTCATGGTTCCCATCATTCTACTGTGTCCTCCTTCAGTCTGTCTCCACGGAGCTGCAGAACTTCATACTGCAGTGACAAACGGCCACAAACTGCAGCTCGGGGGCGCTATAGCGTCCCATGTACAGGGCTACAGTCCCGATGTGGAGGTCATGAGTTAGAATCCCGCTCAAGGCCCTTTCCCACACGTCCTCCCACCATTCTTCTCCCCTACTTTCCTGTTTCTCGCTCACTGAACTATCCAATAAAGGCCAAAAAAAAAGAAACTGCAGCTTGGAGTTCAGAGGGTTAATTAAGGTTGAATCTATTGTGAACACTCATGAGAGCTGAAAGATGGACGTGTTGACAAAAAATAAATTAAAACGGGATAAATACTGAACTTAAAAAATAAACTCAAGCCATGACTTTCAGCTGCACCGAGTTGACGTTCATATTCGGAGGTAGAGCAGCAGCAGGACTCCCGGTTCAGACTCTGGACTCTTTAAATCCAGACAGTTCAGAGTTCGATTCCCTTCCATTTACAGTCCGGCCGACGTCTGAGGCTCCACAGATGCAGAAACTGAGACTTTCCCCCGACTCACCTCAGAAGGAGTTTCCCTTTCAGTCCTGGATATAAAACCCCGGCTCAGAGGAAGAAGTTGATTTTGGCGGGGACGGCCTTGCAGCCGGTGGTGGAGAAGTACTGGCCCTGGACGGGAGCGTAGAGCATGTCGCCCGCCGCCGCCTCCACCACGTCACGGCGGCCGCAGCTGCCTCGCTGGCAGAGCTGCGAGCGGACGCAGCGCTCGACGTGGCAGCGGCTCAGCGGCAGGAAGGGAACGAAGCGGGTGATGAGATTCTGCTGGATGATGCTGGAGTGGAAGAAGCCGCCTGGAGGAGAGAAAGTCAGTGACAGAGGAGAAACCGAGTCAGAGCAGCCGTGCATCCGCAAAGTAGACGGTTTGAGAAGCATCTGAGCTCAATGTTTGGCTTCTGTTGACTCTAGACCTCAACTATTATCTACAGCTGAAACCAGACGTTTACACACACAGTACAAAAAGACATAAAACCTTTTTTTTTCTCACTGACTGACATTAAATCAGACTAAACTTGTCCTGTTTCAGGTCAGTCAGGATTACCAACATTATTTATATAAACACCAGATTAATGAGAGAGAGAATTTTTTATGACTTTCTTCATGGTCAGAAGTTTCCATCCATCTCCTCAGTATCTGGTAGCGTTGCCTTTAAACTGTATGATTTGGGTCAAACGTTCTGGGTTTCCTTCCACAAGCTTCTCACAGTAGTTTGATGAGTTCTGGCCCATTCCTCCTGACAGAACTGGTGGAACTGAGGCCACAATTCTCTTCCTCATATCTCAGCTGATTTCTTTAGATGTCCCATGTTGTCAGTAAAGGAAGCAGTGTGTTTGAGGCGTGCCTCCAATTAACTCAGATGTTGTCAATTAACCAATCAGAAGCTTCCAAAGCCATGACATCATCATCTGAGCTTTAACCAACAGTTTGAAGGCATCTTAGTGGATGGAAACTTCTGACTTTGAAGAAAGTAATGAAAAATTCTACATCTTTGCTTTTAACTTTTTTTAAAAAAAAAGTAAAAAATGTGAATGCTAAATAGCGTTTGACCCGTTTTGACATCTGACATCAGTTAAAACACCTGAAATGTCTTTTTTTTTCAGCCTGAGAGTTGATGACTTTTCCTAAAGTGACCCAAAACACACAAAAACTAATTTATATCCACTGAGCTGGATTTTAGATCCACCAGTTTGGGTCAAATCAAGGAAAACGGTGGTTTTAGGGAATCTGGAAACTGTGAAACTGTACAGGACATGTTTTTTTTAAATGTATTTAGACATTCTAAATAGATCTGCAGCTCTAAATCTGGTGTAGACACTTGCTATGAGGGAATTCTTGACAGGACTGTATGTGAAGGTGAACACTGACAGACTGTGAGCTGATGTGTTCATAGTGAACCTAAACTAGGAATGAAGCTCTTACTCGTGTTGTTGTTGTAAACAGCCTTTTCGATGGCGTCCTGCAGGTCAGACAACTTTATGTCCTCTCGCTCCCGCCCAGCCTGCCGGTTCTCCAGAGCCACTTTGTTGATCACCTCCTCTCCGGCGGTGCTGCAGGAAAATACACACCAAAAAAATGTCTATGCCGATGCTGCTCATGGCTTTAAAACACAGATGTGATGTCGAGAATCACCTCCCGTGCGTTAACTTTGAATACAGCACCAGAACGTTTACAGTAGTTTCCCTTCGCAGCAACTTAAAACGATATTTAAACTCAGTGACGGTCATGTTGGCGGACAGAAGCGGTTATAGCTGCTGCACACGGCGTGGGCGAGCGTTCGGCTACCTGATGAAGACGTAGATGGCCTTGCGGTAGTTTGTCCGAAACACGACGTGTGACGGACCCAGGAAAGGCTCCAGGACGTCGACGAGGCCGGGAGGCATCTTTTCCATCTCGTCGAAGATGAAGACGGAGCGAGCGCACTCGGTTAGGTTTCCCTTCACCCAGCTCCTCAGCTCCTCCTGAAAGACAGCGACGTTTAGTCCTGCAGCAGCTCTTCTGTTCACGGACAAGCATCCAATAAAATCTGAGACAGTCCTGCGTCTTACTTCGCTTAATTAATATGAATCATTTGGTGGAGGACAGGTTCTGGGTGTTAGTGTCAGTTTGTGTGTTGCTTTTATGTTTTGTGTTTCAGCTGTAGAAAGATGTTCCACCATCAGCTGGATGTATCTCCAACAACTGGCTCCTCTGTTCACTGTCTCTGAGCCATGCTGCATTTATGTATTGGTCCAATAGGCTGGATTCTCCTCTCAGTCTCTCTTGTCGTCTTTGTTTTGTTCCTTTTGGGTCTCATTTATGTTGTTTTGTCCCAATTCTGTCTAATTTTTGTCTAATTTTGTCTAGTTTTGGCCATTTTATACGTCTGGGTCACTTTGTGCATCATTTTAGACAAGTCGTATGTTGTTTGGGTCGTTGTGTGTTTGTTTTTTTTTTTGTCTCTTTGTGGTCAATTTCTCTCTACATACTATAAATATTTAGCTATCTCCATGTCTCCAGACTTTTCCTCTCTGCTCTGCTCATTAGATGTAGAAAGATGTTCCACCATCAGCTGGATGTATCTCCAACAACTGGCTCCTCTGTTCACTGTTTCTGCTGCATTTACTTACTGATCCAGCAGGTTGGATTTTCCTCTCAGTCTCTCTGAGGAAACACTGCCTGCAGTTCAACCTGAAAACTTTTGCATTATTGGTCACCAACGAGTCAGTGATGAAGAATCAGTTTTTGCTGTGGAGTTGCTGAACTTTTAGTATTTCACAGAATAAACTAAATTTTTAAACAGACGGAGATTAAAGTGATGTTGATTACATGTCATGATTCTAAGGTTGGATTTAGTTAAGTTGATAGACTGGCGACCTGTCCAGGGTGTCCCCTGCCTTCGCCCTAAGTCAGCTGGGATAGGCTCCAGCCCCCCGCGACCCTAGTGAGGATTAAGCGGTGTATAGATAATGGATGGATTTAGTTAAGTTTCCTGATGAATGGTAAGTCACGCATGAGTAGTTTAAAGACTGTAGGAAAATATAAAAATCCTTTCTGTTGTTACAGTTTGTGGCTCTGATAAATGGTGTGACTTTGGAGATTTTTTGAAAGATGACCGTTACATGAAGATACATCAGCCTCAACATCTGGTGCACACGTTATTTTTGCAGGTTTAAAAAAAACTAAATATATCAGGTTTGATTAAATTTCAGGATTTAAATCTTAAATTTGATTTGATTAAATGTTCCCCACAGAAACAATACTTTAAATGATTGCCTGACAGTTGAAAATTAAGTGGGTTTTTTTTTACACTTTTTATCGCTGGTAAATGGCACCATTTTAGTGTTTTTAGTTTATTTTTTAACAGCAAACTTTCCTTTCCAATCCAAGGTGTGTTTGGAGTTTAAGAGGGTCAATTAGAAAATATACTAAACAAGCCGACGCTGACAAATGTCTTGTTATGTTTGGCCAAAGTTACTGAAGAAGCTGTAGTGATGTGTATTAATTTAAATAGTCGCCAATAAGTTGTCTGTCAGTCCATGAACACATTAACTGGTCTGATTTGATCAATTCATTGCCTTTGATTGTCCCTTCACTCACCCTGTAGTGGTTGACCAGCTGGGCGGAGGGGAAGTGCAGCGTGGGGACAAACTGGTGGACGTACGGGCTGCTCATGGCCGAGCCGTACAGGTGGTTCCCCAGCATGGAGCTCACCATCGTCTTGCCCGTCCCCGTGGAGCCGTGGAACGACAGCACCAGGGGTCGGTCAGGGCTTTTATTCTGAAGGAACTTGGCCACCTCCTCAGACACGATGTCCTGAGCCAGATGCTGACCGAAGACATTCTTGTAGAGATCCCACTCCAAGTCTGACAGTCGGGAAACAATGACAGCGAGGTTAATCTGATTCATCTGCCTCAGTTGCTCGGAATCATTTTTTATTAAAATAAACTCAAAAACATATTTTGTGCAGGAGAACAAATCAATTCATGCTCACCAGATATTTAAAACTTAACTATGGTGTGAGCTTTGTGATTATAAAAACACCTGAAGGCTTGTTTTCTTTACATTTGCTGCTATAATTTGGGACCTTTTTATCGGTCTTGGTGCAGCATTAAATGGGCTTTGATTACCACATAGAAGTGGTGTTTATGGGGCTGCAGAAAACATCGCTTCACCATCGACATTGCAATTTGTGGCTGTGTAATAGTCACACTTCCTGCAATGTGAAGTAAGAAAAATGTACTTAAAACACAACTTTTTCCACTGCTTGATACAAAAAGGAAACTCCTATGATTGTCATTTTCCCTGACTAATCTACAGGAGAAGTCTGTCTGATAGAAGATCTTTTACTCTGATTTGAGGATTCCTGTGTATGCCGAGTCTTCATCTTTAATCAAAAGACACAGTTTGTTGATACGCAGCAAAACGAGCAAGAAACAGAAGAGAAACGCTGAAAAAGGAAGATTTGATTGCAACGAGAAAAGTAATGTCAGTTATGTGGATTTATTTAGATGACAGAAGAAGCTCTCAATGCCATCTAAAAACTGTTTTTGGAGGCCAGCATTACAACACAAGAAAGGTTTCAAACTGCTTTTGTCAGCTACTTTTCATATCTTTTATTATTATCAGTACGGATGCACTCCTCTATAAAATCACCCACATCATTTTAGAATGATTAATACTTTCCAAATAGAGTTATTCAAGTCATCTGACCAAAAAAAGCCCTTGATCTACATCAAACAAACGTTCCTAAATGCCGAGATAAGCCTCAGGAGTGCAGTAAAGATGGGCTATGAACTGTAGTCCAACTGTTTCTGTCATTAACATTTAGATTAGAGCCAAATGCAGCTCAGCATCTTATCAGAAAGGCAGAAGCAGCAGTAAAATGCACTATTTATGTTAGAGTTCAAACAAAACACAGCTGTATGATCACTAATGTACAAATATATAGATGTAAATATAAAATAGATCATCTGAATGAACAAATAGGGATAAACAGTGGTCTGAACATTATAAACAGTGTAAATAGTCCTGATAATAACTGGACGAACAGTGCCTGGATAGTTTCTGTTATTAGCCTAGAATAAGTTCCACGTGTCTACATGTAAACTAGTGGCTGATTGAAGTGCATATAAGTGTCAGTGCCTTTGTAGAGCACGAACAGAACTTCTCCCTGTTTCAAAACACTGACTCATTTGATGACTTCTTGTTTTTCTGGCTAGCATAACAATTAGCAAAGCAGTGGTTAGCTTCAGGAACAGCCTGAATTAGAACTTCAAGAACCCTTCAGAATAAAATGCTACCTAGGTAACACCATTTATACATAGCATATATCTAAGTTAAGCTTTTAAAGTTGCTGTTAACGAGATAGACTTATAACAAGGAGCAGCAGAGGCGACTCCAGCTAGCATAACAATTAGCAAAGCAGTGGTTAGCTTCAGTAACAGCCTGACTTAGCCCCTCGAGAACATATTAGAAAAAAATTATACCTAAAAACACAATTCTTACATGAATGATATGTATATATTGCGTTTTTAAAGCTGAATGAACTTTAACCACTGTGTTTCGCTGCCAAGCTAGCCAGCTAACCAGTAGCAGCAGCCGCCGTCAGCTAGCTCATCCCGTCACTTACCTCTGATGTTGGGTTTGAAGTCGCAGTCGCAGCTGTCTGAAATGGTGCAGTAAAGTTTCTGGAAAACGCAGCAGGCCGGGTTAAAACATAAAACCAGCACAGACAGGACGGCCAACATCTTAGCTGCCTGCTGGCAGAAAAACCGACTGGACTTTCTCTCTGCCGCGACCGGCCGGTTTGTAGTCTTTCAAATTCCCGGAAGTCGTTCAGAAACACGTAATAGAGTACTGAAGAGGACTACAGTTCCCAGAGTGCACCACGGTATGCGACTTTCGAGGAGGACACGTTGGAGGTTCACGGTCCAAAGCCTGTAACTTTGACTGACAGTAATAATAATAAGAAGAAGAAAAGAGAAGAAGGAGAAAAAGGACAAGAAGATGATAAAATGATGATTAAAAACAATAAAAATGATAATAGTAATGAAAATAAAGAAGAGTTTGCTGCAGTTTACATAAATACTGATTTCCGAATCAGTTTCTTCAAAATTGTGCATCAAATTTAGCCTCCAAAAGAAGTGTTACAGAGATGGAAGTTATTTTTAATTTATGCTATCACTGTGTTTACACACTTTTAATTTAGATTTTTAGTCGATGTACAGAGTATTAGCACAAAGAAATTCGGTTCAAATGCAAAAATATATGTATTTTATAGCATGAGACGTGCATTGATATTGTTTACATGACTTTGCTGCGGTTTCTTTTCAGTGAATTTTGAATACACAAATCTAAGTAGCCTAAATGTACGCGGGAAACCACATATTTACTGTTAAATTTCTGGTTTTCTGCAGTTACAACGAGATATTTTTGCAACACGTAAACATAAATGTTGCTGTAATAGTATAGAAAACTGGAGTTTAATTAGCAAGTAATACAAAGATTGTAAAAGTTAATGGACAATTAGAAAATAACAGACACTTTAAACATATAGTTGAAATAATAATAATCGTAACATCAGAGCAGAAAACATCTTACTACAGCAGAGGGCGCTATTATTGTGGAAATGTTTTACTGGGGAGCCAATAAAAGTCCATAATGTGAGTATTTAAAGGAAAACTATACTTTAAAAAAGGATTTTTCCAGTCGTGACACACATTAGCTTCTTGTAGGATAAAAAAACCATGTCCGAGATATTTTAGATATATTTTAGATTTCATTAAGAGAAAACATTTCAGATAGTTTTTTTGTTGTTATTTGTTTGACTTACCGTGTTGAATTCACCACAATATGTCATTTCAAAACCTCAAATTTCACGACACCTAAAACACCCACATTTGTTCACTTTAATGAGAAATCTGAAGGCTTTACTTGAGCATTTCCATTTTACTACTTAACACTTTCACTCTGACAGATTTAAATATAGTTTTTTTATTTACTATTTTTTTATTTGACAGCAACAAATAACACAACAACATTTTTAAATAGGACACACGTTTAAAAAATATAACTTGTAACCCTTGTGGCTTTATTTCGGATATCTCATTCTGTCGTTAGTAACAGCTCCAACAAATTCTGACTTTTGTTCGTCTATATCGTCACAAATCACAATAAATGTTCCACTGATCCAGTATCTCTGCAAAAATCAAAGATGAGAGAAAAACTGGAAACACATTTGTGGATCAGAACTTATTTTTTTCTTACTTTATATACATCTTCCTGCTGCGTACTTTTACTTACGTAGGATTTTTCACACTTGTAATTTTTACTCACACCACACCAATGAAACGGATTCATCCAGTGAACTGGTTTTCCAGTGAGGTAAACATGTTTATTTACAGTTCACATTTTCTGATAAATACAAGACATGAACACTACGTACGACATCAGAAACTCTCTCTGCACTTTACTCCAAAATAAGGTGAACCGACTCATATTACTTTAAATATTCACTTGAAATTAGAAAAGTCCTAACAAACTAGCACACGATGATGAACACAATACAATAAAAATGGAGCTATAGATTATTCTGTTACTGGGTGGTACAGTGTGATATGTTGGTTATAGAAGGTCCAGCCTTCAGTTAGACATTCGTACAGGAAGCTACCAGACGGAGGCTTCAGGGAAACCACATACTGACACTGATATTCACACGCCTCACTGTGGGATGAAAGAAGCTCCCAGGTGAGAAACCTTTGCGTTAAATAGAAGACGCCGGCAGGATAAAGTACATTTCTGACAGTGGTGCGCTGACACTCGGTTAAAAGTGAAGTCATCTTGGCCTCCAGTGGCTCCATCGTCCTGCAGTTAGTGGTTTCTTTTTCTCTTGCAGCTTTAAGTCACAACAATTCAAAGTTACTGAAAAGTTCTGCAATCAGAGCTCAGCTTCGGGATTCAAGTGTCCTTCAACGTCCGGTTCTGTCCATATTTGAGCAAACCACGACAGCTGCTCGGTCCATGCAGGTCCGGGGGTCAGTGTCTTCGGACCGGCGGCTCCAGCCTGTTGGACAAGGCAGTCAGGACCTGGTCGAACTTGGAGAACCTCAGCGCCTGGTTCTCCTCGGCTCCCCTGCTGCCCCACAGCAGCCTCATCTGGAAGTCGGTCAGGAAGAGCTCCAGGACGTCGGCCTGCTCCTGGAAACCTGCAACACAGGCACAACCTTCATCAGCACCGGCAGAATCTGGCCGCATGCGTTTACGTTGAGTCATTATTCACTGCAACTTTAAGTCCTGCAGCTCCATGGAGAATGAAGGAGGGACATTCACAAATGTCTTCTGTCAATAGGACATAGCTACAAATCTGCAAATCATACAGTTGTTTCCAGCCTCTCCAGACGTTTCCTCTCTGCTCTACTCATCAGCAGTAGAAAGATGTTCCACCATCAGCTGGATGTATCTCCAACAACTGGCTCCTCTGTTCACTGTTTCTGAGCCATGCTGCATTCATTTATTGACCCAATAGGTTGGCTTTTCCTCTCAGTTTCTCTTTATCGTCTCCTCTCTCCTCTATGGAAACACTGCCTGCAGTTCAACTGAAAACTGAATTTTTTGCCTGTTGGTCGCATCTGAGTCAGAGATCAGAATTTTTAGTTCAGTTTATTTATTTATTTGTTTGTTTATTTTTACAGGAAATGAAGCAAGTGGCTTATTTTTTATTTTACCTTTTTTTTTAAAGTTAAAGTTTACTAGTTCCTGGATTTGATATTATTACAATAATTTATTTCTGTTTTATCGTTTCTTTCGTTGATAAATTATGCAATTTTTGGTGATTTTTGTTGTTTTTAAAATCCAAACGTGCGTTTTTTAGGGTTAGACAGTGAAAGTAGTAGTAGTATTTTGTAGTACTTTCATATCATTGCAGAATATTTTAAAGTATTTAAGTTAAGATTTCTATTATTTTTACTGGATAGATTTTTGTTGGTGATGCATCAACGATCAGAGGCTTTTTGTGTGTGTGTGAGCCGGTTCTACGAGGATATTGGATGTCATGTGTCATGACTGCTCTCTTTGTTAACCAGGTTTTCTTCATCAGAATCATAACGTTAGAAGTTCTTGAAGGCAGTTTGTCAGGATCTATTTTAACACCTGCTCTAATCATGTTGTAGTTATAATTGTGCGATGACGTCCATCTGACAGTAACTCGTCCTCCTCTGAGCTCCTTCACCTTGCAGTTTGCTCTCGGCGTTGGAGCGGTAGATGCCCCCCAGCTGAGCGATGGTCCTGGCTGCCCCCAGGTGGAACATGACCACGTCCACGCCGGCCTCCACCGTCTCCCAGGGCTCCGACCCATCGCCCACCGCCGCGCTCTTCTCCAGCAGCGTCAGAAGGGGCAGGACGTGGGGGAAGGTGGTGCTGGACAGCGGGCAGCTCTCTGGAGGATGGACAGAGTGCAAAATCAGGACAAAAACACCAGCAGGAATCACCGTGTGGTCGGTGTTTTCCAGAAGCTACCTCTCCCGTCGTTCAGGCTCTTCATGAAGGGTCTCAGAGTTTTCTCGTAGAGGATGGCGCCCTCTGTGTGTCGCTGCCGTAACGCCGTCCAGGTCTGTTCTAGACGGGAAACCTGTGAGACCAAAAACGTCAACAATTAACAATCCAGATGGAGACACTGGAGCCTCTCTGTGAAGTGATGGCTAACATTTACTGATGTAAAGTCGAGAAAACAAATAAAGGTGGTGGAAAAAGACAAACACCAACCGTAGAAGCACAACAGCCACAAACATGAAACAAATACCAACCGTTAAGACGCAAATAAGAACCACAAAGAGCACAAAGAGACAATAATCAGCAAGAGACAAAGAACAACCGAAAAGAGCTCAATAATGACCACAGAGGCACAAATACCAGCGATAAAGACACAAAGACAAGTTGTAAGGGCACAAATAAGAACCACAAAGAGAGAAAAAATAGCACAAAGAGAAAAGCAAGAACTACAAAGACACAAGTAACAACCACAAAGAGACAAATATGAACACAAAGAGACAAATGACAACCTCAAAGAGATAAACACCAGCCATAAAGACACAAAGACAAGCTATAAGGGCACAAATAAGAACCACATGGAGAAAAAAAGTAGCACAAAGAGACAAACAACAACGACAAAGAGACAACAAAACGACCAGAAAGTCAGAAATAATTCCAAAAAGACCACAAGCACATAATCTACAATCACAAAGAGGCGTATGATGAGCACAAAAAGACAAAGTTTAACCACAAAGACACAAAAAAACAACCACAGAGACTCAAATAACGACGACGAAGAGACAAAAAAACATCATAAAACAAAATGACTACAGAGATACAGAGATGAGCATGCAGTCAGCCTGCTGGAAGTTGAGCAGCAGATATTTATTGTCACTTTTTCATATTATATAGAACATTTTAAGTTGTTCGACACTACTTTGAATTTGTTGTTGTGTAACGTTTAAACCTGACTTAAATACCGGTTACGTCTCCCATTAAGAGAAAACGCTTCATCTAACTTGCCATGTCATGCTGCTGACTGTAACAAAGAGCACAGATGGGATCTCTGACCCAGTAAATCTTGTACCTTTGTCGCCCCAACCACAGATAAATGTGGTCATGGGTCAACACTGCCAGGGTGACAGAGTTTATTACATGTGTACACACTGGGTGAAGGGATATACTGCAGGTTTTATTGTAGTGTAATGACACCTGTGTAAATCTGAACTCAGTCAGTGAACCTTTGCTGCTTGTTCTCTGGCTTCCTGTCAGCCTCCACCATCTCCCTCCATAAAGATAACACTAACTGAATGTCAGGTGTACCTGCGGCAGCTCCAAGGCTCTCATGACGGCGGCGAAGCCGAACATGTTGCCCATGGTGCTCTTGAGCTCGGCGGCGACTTGGATGATTTTGTGAAGCAGACCGGCGCGCTCCTCGTTCGACCCGGTGCAGCCCAACACGTCCACGGCCAACATGATCGCCATCGTCTGAAACCTGCAGGGTTCATGTCAGAATCATATCAGCGTTTGTTTGGTGCTGAAAGGCACACAGTTAGTGAAATAGAGATCATCAATGTGTCTCAGTGATTGTAGTATAAAGACTCCTCAATCTGGAGGGTCCAGTCACTGCTGGATCAGTACTCCTGGATAGAACTACACCATGAAGACTAGAACGCTCCAAGAACTCTGTGACAATGTTGTTGAAAAGCATCAGTCAGGGGACGCTACAAGAACATTTGCATCATCCAGTCCAGTTAAATCCATCATTCAAGAAATGTAAGAAATAGGACACATTTGTAAATCTGCATAGAGCAGGACGTCCTCAAAAACTGGCTGCCTGAGCAAGAAGGAGACTAGTGAGGGAGGCCACCAAGACTCCTATGACTCCTCTTAAGGAGGTACTAGAAGGAGACTAGTGAGGGAGGCCACCAAGACTCCTATGACTCCTCCGAAGGAGTCACCAGCTTCAGACTGTTCATAGAACAACTGTTGTCTGTTCTTCAGCAGTCAAAGCTTTATGGGAGACAAAGAGAAAGACGCTGTTGGAAAAAGCTCAGATCAAATCTGGACTAGAGTTCACCAGAAGACATGTGGAGACTCTGAAGTCACCTGGAAGAAGGTTCTTTGTTCTGAGGAGACCAAAATTGAGCTTTTTGTCCATCAGACGAGATGCTATGTTTTGTGGACACCAAATGCTGCACATCATCACAAACACACCATCCCCACTGTGAAGCATGGTGGTGGCAGCATCATGATGCTTCTCAGCAGCAGCCCTGGAAGGCTTGTAAAGGTAAAGGGTAAAATGAATACAGCAAAGTGTAGCGAAATCCTGGAGGACAACCTGATGCAGTCCGCAGGAGAACTGAGACTTGGAGAAGATTTGTTTTCCATCAAGACTGCTGACTCAGCCTCTTCCTGTACTCAGCTTAATATTGTTTCAGTTGAACAGTTTGGTTGAACCAGAATCAGAAATTGAGCGGCGCTCACCTCTCCAGCAGGTCCAGTCTCAGCTGTTGTCCATGTGGCAACGTGAGCAGCTCCATCCCTGAACTAACTCCCATCATCCTTTGCACCTCCGGACTCACCTCCAGAATCCTGGCCACCTGACAACCACACACATACGATTATAATGTGGGTCTTTATGTTTGACAGGTGAGTTAAAGCACAATATGGCAGCGTCATGTGCAGACTTTCTTTAGCTAGTGGCAAATGTATCTCAAAGAAAATAAACAGATGTTCTGAAATGGCTCATTTTCCCGTTTTATGTTCCCTGAGTGGACATAATGAATTAAAATGCATTTTAACCCTCTGAACTCTAGGAAGTTTCTGGGTGTTTTTTGCTCCCGTCATTGACATTGATGTTTCCATACTTCTCAGCTTTGTTGCCATGTGACTGTTGGTTACAGTTGAGGAGCATTGATTTTTTTTACAGATGAAGATTTTTAAACGAGACATGTAGAAAAAAGTGTTTTTTGATTAACTATCTGGATTTTAGGCTCAAATTTGGTTCAGTTTTCAGATGAGTACTTTAAGGGCTAGAAGACAGATTTCTGTTTTTGCGAGTCTGGCTCTAATAAACAGTGTCTGAGGGTGAAAACACAACACTCACATTATCACCGTATAGTTAGCTTGTTCTCCTCGTAGTTTAATCGTAACAACTGGACTTGCTTGAGTTCCTTGAAGACGTTTCACCTTCATCCACGAGGCTTCATCAGTTCTCACTAGTTGGGAGTTCCAGATACTGATATCCTGAAGGATCCATTAACACCTGAGTAGGCGAAACGTCTTCAAGAAACTCAAGCAAACTATGAGAATAACCATGAGCTGGATGACTGAGAATCTTCACAGACATGTTGCTACACATTTGGGGAAGAACGCCCTTCGACTGGTGCGGGAGTACGAAAGAACTTCCAGAAACTTGCAGACTACAGGAACCATCTATGCTTCAACACTCAGGTGTTAATGGCTCCTTCAGGATATAAGTATCTGGAACTCCCAACTAGTCAGGACTGATGAAGCCTCTTGGATGAAAGTGGAACGTCTTCAAGAAACTCAAGCAAGTCCAGTTGCTAACAAACTAGGAAAATAACCATGACCTGGATGACTGAGAATCTCTACAGACAGTTATACAGTTTAGTCTACGCAAACTCCTGACAGAACAATCTGTCTCTTCGGCAGTTCTACTTTGGTGCTGAGCAGGTAGGGGTTTCCTGAAAACAGCTGCTTGTTACATCTGGAAGTGATAAAAGCGTTGAGACTAAAGCAAAGGAAGCCGTGAAGAAGCAACAGGTTTTAAAAAAAGCACAGATCGGCACCACGCAGTCCGCCTTGGTGATGTGTTTGGCCACCGTCCGGGGGTCGACCTCGGCCAGCAGCTCCTTCACCCTCCGCAGGATGCCCACTTCCAGCGGCTTGTTCTCTTTGGGCATCAGCGCTGACTGGTACCTGCCGGGCCTAAAGCATGACACCGTCTCCACCACTGGTGAGAAGTAAACGTTCCCGTCCTCCGCCCTCAGCGGGTCGACGCCCGGCGAGGGACCCTCCTCCGCCCGGAGTCGCTCAACGTAGCTCTGAGGGCCTGGGTACAGCTCCGTGTAGCAGCTTCCATCCGGGTCAGAGGAGGAGTCCGATCCGTCCTGGTGCCGTCGGTGGAGGGTGCTGCTGGGGGAGGGCAGCGGTCGGCCGGCATCCGAGCGCCCGGAGAGCGACGGGGACGGGGCCACGCTGGCGGCTCGGTTGCTGCCAGGACTCGTGGACTGTGAGGCTGGAAGTGAAAGAAGAGCAACAGTTCATTTATAGACCATAACAGGTATGTCTGAGTTGGAGTTAAAGTCCTGTTTATCTAATTCATCTCATTCATCTCTCTGGTTTGGAGATGGCAGTTTGCTTTTGTGGATTCTATCAATTTGAAATTACACTTTGTCATTTCAGGCTATAAATTATCTTTACCACTGAGTCGATCCATCTCAAATCATTCAATTTCTGCTCGACCATCACCGATCTCAAAGCAGCCGCACCTTTGATTAAGCGGAACTTAATGCGTTAATACAATTAGAAGAGGAGTTCTATAAAACTTCTCTCGCCGTACAGTCGTCACGAAGGATGAAATCAGCTACAGAGACCAAAAAACTGTATCGTGTAAAAGGCTGTGAATGTGATCATTTCTGCACTAAAGTTGGACAGTTTAACATGGACGTCAATGGGACCGGACTTACTTTTGGAGCCAGCGTCAAGTGGACATTTGAGGTACTTTGAGGTGCTTTCACAGCAGTTTTATTTTTCAAACATCCATCCATCCATCCATTATCTATACACCGCTTAATCCTCACTAGGGTCGCGGGGGGGGCTGGAGCCTATCCCAGCCAACTTAAGGCGAAGGCAGGGGACACCCTGGACAGGTCGCCAGTCTATCACAGGGCTACACTTAGAGACAGACAACCAAGCACACTCACATTCACACCTACGGAC